CTCTGCAGGTGAGGTTGTCATGTCTGGCGCTTCTGTTGACCATGGGCTGGTTCTCACTTTTTGGTGGGGAGCTTGCCTAGTTGTGCTTTCAGGGGTTGAGCTCTGGCTCTTGGGCCCTGCCTCCTGTCAGTTGACAGTTGTGCAATTTCCTGAGCCTCCTGGGCTCTGTATTCTCTACGGTTGCTCCTGTGGGTGGAGTCTGCTTCCACCACATAGCTTCTTAGTGCTTTCTGCTTCCTTTCCCCCTCTGACATTGATCGGGTTCTTTTTCATGTCTGTGGCTCCTTTGGGTACTCGGCTTCCTCCTGTGTCCCCTTGTGCATACGACCATACGGACATAAGACCAGAGGAACTGCAGAGGGCCTATTGGCCCGTACGAGGCAGCTCCTATTTCTTCCCAACCATTCCCGCTCATATACATGTCCAACCCACGTTTGCACAAATCATGGGGCCCCACCACTGCGTTACGCGGTAATTGGTTCCGCGAATCACCGAACCTGTTAACATGCTGGTCATTCCTCGGATCTTTCCTGATTCTACACTTATCCCTTTTATGCTCATTTTTTCGTGTCTAAAATGTGCTGCAAGGGTGGCGTGTGCCTCTGTCCCAGTTCTATTGTTTCGTGGAGATTGGTGACAATAAACACAACCACTCAGAGGCTACATATGTTTTATTGCGTATACAGTGGTATGTGGGTGTTATTTTTGGCGGGCAATGGTGCGAGTTCAGCACACTGGGAGTCGGTACGGTTTCTCGCAAGTGTCTGTTCTAGACCACACTTGCAGGTCGACTAGTTATTATTCGCTACTTTGCTGCTTCTATGTTCGGGCAATACCTCGCCATTCTCAAAGGGTTGGCAGGCATATTCACTGGAAGTTTGGAACGGTTTGAGTTCCACGATTGGTCCTCCGTAGAGCTTTGCTTTTCTCGTTAGGCTAATGCATTTGGAGCAAGTATCTGATTGGGATAATCTGCTCACTCCACCACCCATGTTCACTGCTTCATCCTTGTTTACTCTTCCCCGCTTGGCAGGATTGAGTCGATGGCTCCTAAAAGGGGTGTTTGGTCTGGTGTGTTTGGTCACTTTGCGTGGGTCTTCAGTGACTTTTGTCCCTGTCTTTTGTTCTTTGTTGTCCTGTGGGGCTCTGCCCTGCATTTCGGCGCTTTTGGTTTTCGTTGTCGACACCTGGGTCTTTTCCCTCTCGGGACACTCATTCCTTGCCTAACTTCGGTGCCTGACTGCACCCTGCTGTCCATGAGGTCCATCGGGTATGTATGCCCTCTACACATTTTGTGGTTGGTCGTGTGCCTTACTTCCCGGTCGCTCCTTGGGCCGTATTCAGGGTTTTCCTTACCTATTCCCATTTTTCCTCCTCCCATGCTCCACCTATTTGTGTATCTGGGTCAGTGCTTCTGGCCTATCCTGTTTGGTGTTCAGGTGGGCCTCTGTCCATGTTCAGTTCCCCGCTTTTGAACTTCTCCGGTGTTCTGTTTTGGTACTGAGTTCCTGCCATTTTCTGTGTGACTTCCTGCAGGCTTCGGTGTTGCGCTGTCTGTGGGGGATTGTGGACTTTTGGTCTGCCGCTCCTGCCTTTCTGGTTCCTTTTCTTGGAACCGGGTTTGCTGGGCTCCGGTCCTGGCTCCGGTTTTCCTTTGTTCCTTTTTCGGAACGGGTGTTTGCTTTTCTGCGGTTCACGTCCTGGGTAGTTGCCCAGGTTGCTCTTGGTTGCCTCTGGAACGCGTGCGTCTTTCTTCCCTACTGGAGCTCGTTATCTTGCTCCTTTGGGTTGCGGGGTCGCAGTTTTTCAATTCGCTTTTTGCGCCTTCGTTCGTGGTGCTAGTTTCTCGTTTGTGTCGGCTCTGGTGGGTTCCTTATTGGTCTCCCACCTGCGTGTTTCGTCTCGGGGGCAGAGTGTGGTTTTCCTGGCGGTCCTTCCGGTTTTCCTATCACTACGAAGGGTCCTTCGGTCTTTGATGGGGTTGGCTTGTCTTCCCTTCGGGGTTGTTCCGGGTCCGTCGTCTGGGCTCGTGTCCTGTCACCTCGTATTGGGTGGTGCTGGTGGAGCCGCTCCTGCTTGCGTTTGGAGTTGCGGTTCCTTCTGCTCCGTTCCACTTGCTGTCCTGGGCGTTGTTTCCCTCTGGCCTGCTCTTGAGTCCTGGTGCCGTCCTGGTAGTTGGCCTGGGTGGTCTGTTTTCTTCTCATTTTGGTCTTTGTTTTGTCTGTGGTCTTGGTTTTTAGGTTAGGGTGCGTGGCATCCGCCTCCCGGTTCCTTCCCTGTTTTCCTTATCTGTGGCGAGGTACCTCCGGGGAACTTCAGACAATTTGGGAAGCATCAGACGAGGGAGTGGGGGAAGGGTGGGGATGACGAGGGGACGGAAGTGAGAGATGGTGGGAAGGACGAGGGGACAAGGGAGGGGGTAATGGTGGGGAAGGACGAGGGGACGGGGGAATTTGGGATGGTGGGGAAAAAGGGATGGGAGAATGGTGGGGAGAACAAAGGCACAGGGAAGTGGGGCATGGTGGGAAGAAAGAGGTGATGGTGGAGTGGGGAATGGTGGGGAGGACGAGAGGACGGTGGAGTGGGGAATGGTTGGGAGACCAAAAAGACGGGTGAGGAGGGGAATGGTGGGGAGGATTGGGGGGACAGGGAAGGTGAGCCACAGCAACGCATGGCCGGGTACTGCTAGTTTTATTATATAAATATATCACACTACACACTATTGAATAATATTACAGCAAAAAACTACGAAAAATCAGACATTGAAATAATTAGGTAATTATCTGTAGCAACTCCGGCCTGACAGCTGGGAGCAACAGACCGTCTCGGACGCACGCTGAGTCAGCGCCTGTTTTTTGCCAGACTTCCCAACACTATAGCGGGCAATATATGCCACTTACAATTTTTTTATTATTTTTCCCATGATCAGTGAACACAAAGAAGTTTAGATGAAAAAATATTTTTTTTTTTTTATGTGCCTGTGGGTGACACATGCTAAATAGCCAGGCGCCATACAAGGGTTAACCACCGTGCTGCGCCGAGTTTATTGTGAAATTCCCCCTGTGCGCATGAAATAGTGTTCCCAAAAAATTATTTTTTCTTTGTAAAATGATAAATTCCCTTCCCTGAACATGTCTATGTAAAAATACAGTACCAAATTCCACTTACTTTGGCTGTGGGAACGTGGACAAGGTGCGCTGTGACGTCATCAGGGCCTGGTCGCCCGTGCGTGAATCGCCCAGATATGGTCGAGCGGGCCATTCAAGCACCGGGTGTTGCCACACATACACAAAACAAATAATTGAAAATGTATTTCCAATGCGGTTTTATTTTTTTTTATCGTATATGACGCATATTTGTGTCCTTTACAATATGTATACAGTAGAACGTTCATAATGTTATTTGGAACTGTGATACATGTGTCAGTAATGTGTCCACAATAAATATTTATTGTCATAATATTTCTGTTAAAAATTCACTAAAATTACAATATGTACAGTTTCACACACTATTTACACAGTAACACACAGTATTACACAGTACTTCGGAAGTGAGTAATAATCAACGAAGAAGTCCATGGTACACAGCGCGACTTCGCTCTCAGTGCACCAGGTACAGATAAATTTTCGCTTCCTGTTTCTTCATTCTGTGTGCTTGCAAATAACGCACTCATATACACCCTTGGCTTTAGTACTTGTAGGTTGTATGTAACCAAGCTTGTAAAGCATAAGGTAGTATTGAAAAGATTATAGGAAAAGATAAATTTGTAAGGTAGTCTTAAAAAGATCGCTTTGTATGGTCCCACACAGGAACAGATTCAGCTTGCCTCAAAGAGTATGTGTCAGTTAGAAGAGATTCAGGTATTGTTGCAAATATCTATGGAAAACACCACCATGGAAGCTGCTAAAACTGTTCATCTATGCTACTTGTATCAGATGCATCATCACTGAATGCAGAAAACAATTTATCTATGTATCATCTAAATAAATTGGAGATTGCATAGGATTGCAAGGGTGACGCTCAGAGCTACAACTGGATACGCTTGCTGTATCGTCCTCATAGGTGCTGTATCACTTGCATCTGACCTTTGTGTTAGGTCCTTATTGCACCTAGCTTCACCAATATTATGACCCCTTATGTTCATCAAACACTAAGGTTCGAATTTCACCAACAGAGCGTTATCTTTCAACACCGAGTTGGACAGGTGTTTGGGAGCCAGGGGCTCGTGCGCCACCCATGGTTGCTCATTCAGTACTAACCCAGCCAGCAGCCCTAGGGCATTCTGGGAATTTTGTCCAAGATGGCTGCCTCTCACTGGAGGTCCTAAGAGTCCATTTCGTACACAACCAACCTCGTACACATTTAGAATTGGTACCGAAAAATCAGTTTTTTCTCGGTTGGGGCAGTTTCCCCCCGACTGAGAATACTCGGTTGGCGCAGTTAAGTGATTAAAGAACTGAAGGGTGGTGCAGCCGGGAAAGGGTGGGGGGGGGGGGCAGGGTCTGGCTCTGGTCCCTTGTAGGCTGACTTGAACTCCAGGAATTTAGTAATTGGAGGACATCTCGGCGAGATAACTTGAAAAATAAGGGAGCCACCAGGGGCTCCCACCAGAAAGAAAAATGTTAAAATACTTAACAAATTTTAATGACTTGGATAGACTTTATACATAGTTTAAGATGTTGTTATAGGGGCTGCAAATGCTTGGGAACCTGTGCAACTAATCAGATGAAAGTTGAGAGGTGTGATCAGTGGGCTAAAGCTCGATCCCCCTGCAAGCATAGTTAGGTGAGTGTACACAATCTTTTCAACTAGCCAAGTACATACTCAAGGGTTAAGGTTTCCACCTCTTTTCTCCACTGCCAACCACATGATCTTCTATTTCTTCCCTCCTATCCTTGCAGCTGTGACCATTTAGGCATTAGAGCATCCTGGCTGTAACACGATGTATACCTTACTGGAGATGCCAATTTCAATGCTCATATCTTTGCCTTACATTCTAGGAAAGCGCTGAACAGAAATCTCTATCGGAAGATGAGCTGCACGGCCTGAGAGAGCACATTGATCACCTGACACTGCTGCGTGATAACCTAGAAACCTCGGTGCTTATCAAGGATGATTTGATAGCCGAACTCCAAGTGCAGCTTGATGAAATGGTGATAGAAGGACGGGGCTACCAACAGCACATGGAGATGTATAAATGCAGGATGGAACAACTCCAAGAGGAGGTATGATATTAGCCTTGTCAAGTATGGACTAGATATGCTGCACACACTAACCATTTGATCAGGCAAGCTGATCTTTTTTGTATTGTAAAGTCTTTGACTTTTGCATTATAACTTCATTTATAGTGTGACTATCCAGACTAATTAATAACTCTGGAGGGATGAATAGATGGAAACCTTGAGAAGTGAACAGAAGATGTGATCACTTGGGCTAGGTTAGACAGGTGTTGAAAGCCTCGGGTACCTCCCCACACACAAACTGTGCGTGATCACTGGGGCTAGGTAGGTTAGACAGGTAGTGAAAGCCTCGGGTACCTCCCCACACATACACTGTGCATGATCACTGGGGCTAGGTTAGACAGGTAGTGAAAGCCTCGGGTACCTCCCCACACATACACTGTGCATGATCACTGGGGCTAGGTTAGACAGGTATTGAAAGCCTCGGGTACCTCCCCACACACAAACTGTGCGTGATCACTGGGGCTAGGTTAGACAGGTATTGAAAGCCTCGGGTACCTCCCCACACACAAACTGTGCGTGATCACTGGGGCTAGGTTAAACAGGTATTGAAAGCCTCGGGTACCTCCCCACACATAAACTGTGCGTGATCACTGGGGCTAGGTTAGACTGGTGTTGAAAGCCTCGGGTACCTCCCCACACATACACTGTGCATGATCACTAGGGCTAGGCTCTCCACACCTACACGGTTTTAATTGTAACTCTTCCCAAATATTTTTAAAGTGTTAATAAGCTTTGTTTCTAAAATTGTCCAATTTATTTAATGTGAGAGAGCAGGGATAGTTTATTTGGCCAAGAAAATAAGGAAAACATCGCCTTACAGATGATTTGTTTTGATCATTCCTATACATTCCCTCAATCTGAATCATGGTACTAATTTAGGTATATATTAATCTAAGAAGTCCAGGCATTAGAAGGCTGTATTTTTGTCGTCAACGTATCCTCATTATTTTAGTTATTTTAGATGGAAATAATGGAGAGGCTGGGCCTGGCCAGGTGAGACAGGATGGCTAGCCATAATGGAGAGGCTGGGCCTGGCCAGGTGAGACAGGATGGCTAGCCATAATGGAGAGGCTGGGCCGGGCCAGGTGAGACAGGATGGCTAGCCATAATGGAGAGGCTGGGCCGGGCCAGGTGAGACAGGATGGCTAGCCATAATGGAGAGGCTGGGCTGGGCCAGGTGAGACAGGATGGCTAGCCATAATGGAGAGGCTGGGCCGGGCCAGGTGAGACAGGCTATCCAGTCCTTAAAATCATATAAAAAATTCTTATTCAACATTAAATGGAATATTTATCCATACGGATTTTAACTGTATATCAGATAGCAGAGATTGGTTTTTTATCCTATAAAAATGAGAAACATGACCAAGCCGATTGCATTTTATGAATGACTTTTGATCACAGCCAAAATATTCGCTCATTTATTACATGTAATTAAGTTTTTTGCCCCTGGCATTTAACCCTTAAATGGCGCCTGGCTATTTAGCATGTATCATCCACAGGCGCATACCAAAAAAATAAAAAAATATTTTTTCTTCTAAACCTGTTAATTTGTGTTCACTGATCATGGGGAAAATAATAAAAAAATCGTAAGTGGCATATATTGCCCGACATAGGGTGGGGAAGTCTGGCAAAAGACAGGCGCCGACTCAGTGTGCATCCCAGACAGCTCGCCAGCTGTCAGGCCGGAGTTGCCACAAAGAGATAATTACCTAATTATTTCAATGCCTCTGATTGATTTTTCGTAGTTTTTTTTTTTTGCTGTAATATTATTCAATAGTGTGTAGTGTGATATATTTATATAATATAATGAGTGAATCATCGCTGTACAAAAAAATATGGTGTGCATATTGTTGATTCAATTATGTTCATCAGACAGTGAACAAATACTTTTGTTGGCTATTACACTATATACACAGGTTATACATAAGTATCTGCATGTTTTGTTCACCATAACGAACCACTAAGTTCCTATTATGAGTCAAAAAGTAACGAGGAGTGACCGCCACACACCAGCCAACCAGTGGCAGCTCGCCACTGGCTGCCACTCCCTCCCACCCTCCCTCCCTCCCTCACCTCACCTGACTTGCCACTATTCTCCTCCCCCCCATACTGTTTTTGCTTTTATATACAGACTTTATATGCAAGTTTTTACATGTTTTGTCCACCATAACTGTACATCTAAGCTTGTATGGCGAGTAAAGGCACAAAGACGTAGCTACTCACACAGTCAGCTGGTGGCGGCCGCCCTTAACCCCTTAACTGCGTTGCCTCCAAATGTGACACCCCTGCAGTGCGCAGGAAATAAATTCTCTGGAAAAAAATTCTTTTTTCTTTTTAAAGTGTCAAAAACCCTTCCCTCAGTATGGGTATGTAAAAAAAAAGTCGAAATTGTACTTACTTTGGCTGCTATGGGGTCCGGAAGTTGGGGCGTGACGTCATCATTCCCCTGTGCGCCCGTGCCGTAAGCTCTCGGGGGCGGTGGGGCGCGCGAGTTGCCGCAAATATATTTTCGTTCATTTTTTGCGCACCTTTCCAAATACATTTTCATTGTTTTTATGTGCCAATCAAATGTATAATGAACACGTACACTATAATATCGCAGTACAACATCCGTACTGTCCGTAGACACTGTGTTACGTGCATGAAACTTGTGTACACATATTTACTATGTATCATTCTAATTTGTGTATATATACAATCTATTTACACACTATACACTGTCACACACTATATACATTCACCATCAACACATTCAGAACATTGCGTAACAGCTGCTTTGTATGGGCCAATATCAGCTGCCTCGTGTGGGCCAATAGCAGCTGCCCCATATGGGCCAATAGCAGCTGCCCCGTTTGGGCCAATAGCAGCTGCCCCGTTTGGGCCAATAGCAGCTGCCCCTGTATGGGCCAATAGCAGCTGCCCCGTATGGGCCAATAGCAGCTGCCCCGTATGGGCCAATAGCAGCTGCCCCGTATGGGCCAATAGCAGCTGCCCCGTATGGGCCAATAGCAGTTGCCCCGTATGGGCCAATAGCAGCTGCCCCGTATGGGCCAATAGCAGCTGCCCCGTATGGGCCAATAGCAGCTGCCCCGTATGGGCCAATAGCAGCTGCCCCGTATGGGCCAATAGCAGCTGCCCCGTATGGGCCAATAGCAGCTGCCCCGTATGGGCCAATAGCAGCTGCCTCGTATGGGCCAACAGCAGCTGCCTCGTATGGGCCAACAGCAGCTGCCTCGTATGGGCCAACAGCAGCTGCCTCGTATGGGCCAACAGCAGCTGCCTCGTATGGGCCAACAGCAGCTGCCTCGTATGGGCCAACAGCAGCTGCCTCGTATGGGCCAACAGCAGCTGCCTCGTATGGGCCAACAGCAGCTGCCTCGTATGGGCCAACAGCAGCTGCCTCGTATGGGCCAATAGCAGCTGCCTCGTATGGGCCAATAGGAGCATTTGGCCATGAACACATTCAGAACTCCTCGAGTGAGAGCAGCCACACCCAGCCAGTCTCCCTCACTCCAACATCTTACTTGCCAACATTGCTCCTCCCACCATATCGTTATAGTTCTTATTACACATGTTCTATATACCTATCTACATGTTTTATTTACCAGAACTATGCAAGTAAGCCGGTATTGTGTCCAAACAGTACAGTGGCCACCATACACTGCATGAAAAATCATACAGCAGACGACGCTACGATTACGTCACCTCCCTCACCAAAATAGCTCCTCTCAATATTCTCCTGTTGCTGTTCTTACACTATATATACTCATGTACATATGTGTTGCCCATAGCGAACCACTAAGCTAGTATGGTGAGCAAAACAAGAGTGGCAGCCACACAAACACAATGAGGCTACCTCAATTCTCGCCCTCCCTCCCTCATCAAAATTCCTCCTTCCACAATACTACGCACAACGCTAATTATAACCACAATCCTGCTATTATCACAATCCTGGTTACTAATTCCTGTAAATGAATAATTGACTACACGTTTATTTTGAAACGGAACCTAAGAAATCATTTGAAGATTCCTAGATGAACGAAATAATGCTGTGGTGCTGTGGCTAGCGCTGTGAACATCGTGAACAGCATTGAATCACTGATATTTGAACATTGTACCCAGTCATTATCACACTCAGGCTCTAATATAACACTATCATAGCTAAATAATACAAGTTATATATATTTTTTGACGTTATTAGGCGATGCTGTGGTCACATGCTGAACAGCAGTGCTGTGCGCTCATGCTGCGAGCGCCAGCCTTGGTTGCTCACTCACTACTGAGGCTCCCACACCCGGGAATGTGGACCACGATTTTTTTTAAAGATGGCGTCTGTTTACAAGAGCCCTGAGGAAGCTGATGTGAACCCCATGTAGCCGTGGGAGTTTTGAATGGAACGTGAAAAATACAAATACCTGGAGGCGCGTTGCGCAAACCAGACGTGAGCCTGCAGGCGCGTTGGGCAGTTTAAGGGTTAAGGCCAGACCCACTAATATTTCTCCTCCAACAATATTGTTTGTGGTGTTGTTACGCTATATACACACATTATATATAAGTATCTACCTGTTTTATTCATCATACTTGTACAAGTAAACTGGTATGGTGCCCAAAGACCATAGTGGTAAACAACATAAGTCGTGCAGATCTACATTTGTGATCACCATAGCAAACCACTAAGCTGGTATGGTGAGTGCAGTCAATAAAAGGTGGCCACACACAGTCAGAAGACGACGCCACCACCCTCCCTCCCACAGCATTACTCCTCCTTTCATGGAGCACAGCACTAAATATCACCACAATCCTGCTATTATCAGAACCCTGGTCAGTTTTATCACAGTGGGGGGTCTTCTGTAATAATATCATCGCTAAATAATAGCAAGAACATGTATATTATGGCATTTTTAGGCGATGCTGTGTTCACAAGCTGAACAGCAGTGCTGTGAGCTCATGCTGCGTGCATCAGGCTTGGTAGCTCACTCGATACCGAGGCCCCTCACACCCGGGAATTTGGCCAACGATTTAAAAAAAAAATGGCGTCTCTTTACAAGAGCCCTGATGAAGGTGTGGTGAACCCCGTGTATCCGCGGGCCGTTTAAATCTTGCCCGTTACTCCAAAACATCATATGATGCCGAGCGCAAGTTACTGCAAGTCACTCAACGCATCATATGATGTCTTGCGCAACTAAATGGTTAAGGAAATGCATAATAAAGCATTACAAATTTTGTGACTTGATGTAACCGTGGCTAAAAAATCCTAGTTAATGGGAGAGCTGGCATATAGGTAATGTAAGGAAATTGCCAGTTATGAATACAACTTTTGTAGGGGGTAGAAATAGCCTAAGCTACTCTATCCCTTTGAGATGTATTTCTCTCTATCTCAATAAACACTTACTTGAACTTGTTACAATGCAGGATTGTGATTATTCATCCTTGCATTACTCCTTTACTCCTTGCATTAAAGTGTGTGTGTTTGTTTGTTACTAAAGATAAAATATTGTGGATAGATTAATTTATGGAACTGCTCAGTGTGACAGCTGTGAGTTGAGGAATGTTGGGTGGCTGAAAGACAGCTTCAGTTCCTCACCTAGTGATACAGCCTTCCCGTCTTTCGTAGCTTTTTCTTTTTCCATGTCATTTATGGATCTTTGCTCTTTTAAACTGTATCTTCCATGTCAATTTATTTATGGTGTGATACCTTGGGCAGGCATATTTGGTTAGGTTAGGAATGCATATTTTGATTTACTGGGCAGTGCAACATTGGCCAGGTGATTTGCAAGCTCTCACACGTCAAGCTTGTGTTTGACTGCATATTTTTAGTATGCAACAATATGCAACAATATTTCTTTCTAGACAGCACTAGTGTATTAAAGTATCGTCATTAGTTTGGCAGCTCCGTTTTGAAAGGTTCTCACTATTTCTTGTAGCTGTGACATAACTATACAACAGCTTCCTTATGGGATAATGAGGAAAGGCATGCATTATATACTTACTGTATATATGCCTAATGTCATCCCAAAATAATGGCACTTTATTATTAATGCAATGGATAGAAGTACTTTTAATTTTGTAGAGGGCCGAAGAAAGAAAACCACCACCAAACCTAGGATTAGTTTATCATGTGTGTACTAAATAAGACCTAAGGTGGCATATATTAGTCCTAGGATTGTTTATTTAGGTATAGGTTATATTTAAAGTTACTGTTCCACTTTCTTGGCTTGTAATTTGTACCATTGCAATAGAAGAAAAGCATGAACTCTCGGGGGATACAGCAGTTCATAGTGTCTATTTTACCCAGAGTAGCTGTAGGTTCTGTAATGTGTGAAATGTGTCTGTGGTTAGTAGTTTTGATAAAACACTGCTGGCAGTTGATAACATGTAGATGGTAATGATGTGTTGATATCTTTTTATTTTTACAGATTGAGAGCAGTTTTAGAGAGCGCAGCGAGGCTGAAGGTAAAGTAAGAGGCTTAGTAGCCCAGTACGAAGCTCTGATGAAGGACCAGGTCGAGGAGAGAGACAGACATCTGGAAATACTGGCCAGGAAGGATATTGAAATTGAGCTGCTCAGTGGTAGTTTAAATGAGCTTAATATAAAAGTGAGTATTTACCCTTATTAGTTTCTTCGTTCGTAACAGTAATTTTTGTACTTGCAAGTTTTGCTAGATTGTCTTACTCTTGATGCTCTTCTGTTTCATACCCATTGTTGGTTTGAGTATTGTATTGAGGCTTTCTTGAGATTTCATTTTCTTCCAAATGTCCCCCTTGTCTTTTGTCTTTTAAATTGATAGTGTTTCTCAAATGCTGTTAGGGTGTGCATACCAGCTAATTCAGAACGTTGCTTTATATTGTAGGATATAATTTAGACATGCAGGACAACCGAGGAAGCTATAAAATAACACTTGCCAAGTGTATAATGCAATGTACTGTTTGGGGCTTCCAAGAGCTTATATACCAGTATGCCAAGGCAAAATCCAACATGCCAGGCATCTGTAGCCATCTCATTACTGAGAGCAGTATAGTAACTTGTATCAATATATCTTCAATGCATCATTTATATTTCAGTATATACTTAAGTATAATTCGAAAGTCATTTATCATGCACTAGTCACTAATTTGAGACTGTATTTTCTGTAAAATCTGTATTTTCACAAGTTTATATATATTCAATATTCACATTTCTATGAACACTGTCTAGTGTCCTAAGCCCATTATCTTAGAAAGCTTCCCACCGGTCTACATAATCCTAATCACTACCATCTTGGTCGCCAGCAATCAACTTGATTCAAATTACTGGCCCAATGTTAATCACTTCATGAAAGTCCAAACATAATACTCATGACATCAACTCACCAGTTCCTTCTTCACCTGGAGAAGATCATGAGCAAAAAGCTCATAGAACATCAGGAGAGAGAGAGCCTTGTAACTCGCCAATAGCATTGGTTCAGGGATAGTAAATTGTGCCTCACAGTTTAATAGAATTCTGTCAACATAATGTTAAAGCACGCAGAGCACCGAACTTGGAGGTCATGAGATAAAAGATACATATTCAGCAGTCTGTTCAGGTTTGAGCTGTACAAAAGGGAGGTGGTGGTAGAAGTATACAATACAAAGAAATTCCTGCAGCTTAAAGGTAGATGGATGTGGAAACTACTTGACTTTTTTTTTGTTTTTTATAAGTATTCTCTTGAACGCAGGCGGGCGAGATACATAATAATTTATGCGTGGAAAATATTAGAGGGGGCTGGTCCCAAACCTGCACACAGAAATAACATCGCATGAGACCAGGAGGCATGGCAGGATGTGCAGAATACTCCCGTTGAAAAGCAGAGGTGCAACAGGTAGTCTGAGAGAACTTTATCAACAGTAGAGGCCCAAGACTGTTCAACACGCTTCCAATACACATAAGGGGGCATAACTGGCTGACCCCTCAGTGTTCAAGAGAGAACTGGATAAGCACCTCCAAAGGATACCTGATCAACCAGGCTGGAGCAGTCGCGTCCAACATCCTGGTTGACAAGTCAAGCAACAAAGAGGCCTGGTCGACGACCGGGCCACTGGGATGCTAAGCCCCGGAAGCACCTCAAGGTAACCTCAAGGTCAAGTGGCTGAAATCTGAGCACTTATGTATGGTGTGCTAGAGAGTAGAGTTCTGGGGTACTAAAGAAGCTCATTCCTTCATTAATATGCGGGTCGTCGTCTTAAAGACAGACGAGACACTTGAGGTGTAGCAAATTGTCGGCTGGTAAACTACTGGCTACCTTCATCTGTGACAAATTTTCACTCAACCAGCAGATATCGGAGCCAACGAGAAATGAAAATATTTTAGATCTGGTCTTTACGAACAATGAAGACATAATCAGGGACGTCACGATATCAGATACCACATACTTGGATCACAAGCTCATTAAAGTGCAAATGACCATCAATACTCAGACCTAAAACGTTGATAAAGCAAGAGGGCTATTCAGTAAATTCAATTTTAATAATAAAAGGATAGACTGGGAGATAATAAACAGGGAACTTACAAACATTCCATGGGAAACTGTTCTAAGTATTACAAGTCCTTCAGAAGGAATAGAAAAACTGACTTCGGAAGCGTATCAAGTCTGTCTGAAACATGTTCCTTTGGGGAAAACCAGAAAGAGATCCAACGTAGAAAGAGAACACAGACGACTCTATAAACGAAGGAAAAAAATAACGGAAATGCTTATGCAGACACGAATTTCCCGTCAAAGAAGGAATAATTTAAATAGGAAAATTGAAGAAATCGAGCGGAAATTGAAACACTGTATCAAACTGAAGAAAGGCAGTTAGGACAGAAAGCAATTCAGGAAATAAAGAAAAATCCAAAATACTTCTTCACATATGTGAAGTCAAAAGCAAAAACCACTGCCAGTATTGAACCTATTCGTACAAGTGAAGGTTCATACACGGAGGATGACAAAGAAATTAATGAAATCCTAAAAAAGCAGTATGAGGACATGTTTAGCACTCCAATAAACAACATAAAAGTGGAAGATCCAGACAATTTCTTTATGCGGGATATTCAAACCCTTGTAAATATAACTAATATCAACACGAGCACACTAGACTTCGAAAGAGAAATTGAAAACATGCCCATGCACTCGGCCCCAGGTCCAGATTCGTGGAATTCAATATTTGTAAAGAAATGCAAAGTGCCGGTAGCACAGGCACTCAGTATAGTGTGGAGAAAGAGCTTGGACACCGGGGAGATACCAGATGCACTTAAAGTAGCAGACATAGCCCCTCTACACAAGGAAGGGAGCAAAGCATTGGCAAAGAATTATAGACCAGTTGCACTAACATTGCACATAATAAAAGTATTTGAGGGAGTGATTAGGAGTCAGGTCACCAATTTAATGGAGACCAATGACCTTCACAACCCAGGCCGACATGGATTTCGAGCGGGAAGATCGTGCCTCTCACAGCTACTTGATCACTATGACAAAGTCACTGAGGCATTAGAAGAAAAATAGAATGCTGATATGATATACAGTGGTACCTCGGAATGCGAGTGTCCCTGTATGCGAGTTTTTCGGAAGACGAGCAGGATTTACTCCAAAAATATGTCTCGGAAGGCGAGGGTTACCTCGGGACGCGAGTTTGTTGATACGTGTACAGGCCGACTGGCGCGTGGTGGCATGGCGATCGCGCCTCAGTTTACCAGTGTCTCGTGTCCAGTGACTATCCCACCTGAATTCTTCACAAGGATTTACAGTTTTTTATTGTTTTTTTGGCCATTTGAGCATAAAAGTTGTCATTATATATCTTGCCATGGGTCTCAAGAAAGCCAGTGATCAGATTCAACCTAAGAAAATAGCTGTGAGTAGAGGCAGTAGAGGATGTCCCTTCTTGATTAAGAAAATGTGTGAAGTATGGGAAGAACTGCAAAGTTTTGTTGAAAAAACTCACCCAGATAAAGCTGTAGCAGGCCGTTGCATTGACCTTTTAAATGATAATGTGATGTCTTACTACAGACAAGTGTTAAAAGTAGGGAAAAACAAGTGTCATTAGACAAATTCTTAGTAAAACAAGCAAGTCCTAGTGGTATGCAGGCAAAATGTGCCAGTGTGTGCATACCAGTGAAGTCCTCACTGCCTGATGTGATAATGGAAGGGGACTCCCCTTCCAAACAGTAACTCCTCTCTTCCTCCCACCTCCTCACCATCTTCCATACGCCTACAGCAATCAACAGCAAGGTAAGTAATAACTTGAACATAGTTTTGTAGGTTTATTTAGATGAATTAGGTATAAAAATTTAGTTTGATGTGGGGTTTTTGGGGTAGTCAGGAACGGATTAATTCATTTCCCTTTATTTCTTATGGGGAAATTAGCTTCGGAATGCGAGTTTTCGGAATGCGAGGCGTCTCCAGGAACCAATTAAACTCTTAAACCGAGGTATGCCTGTACATGGACTTCGCAAAGGCTTTCGATAAATGTGACCATGGCGTGATAGCACACAAAATGAAGTCAATGGGAATAATCGGTAAAGTAGGACACTGGATACTCAGCTCTCTCTTACCTATTTATTGCCTGTCCCTACCTGTCCTCATCACAATCGACTTGAGAATGGTCCAGGACGGACCGAAACATCGTCGTCCCTTCAACTTCTAGTGTGTGGTCTGGTCAACATACTTCAGCCACGTTATTGTAACTCATCGCCTGCACTGGATACTCAGTTTTCTGTCAAACAGGACTCGACGAGTAACGGTCAAAAATATATAAAATATATATTTTTATATATTTCTATAAATATAAAATCTAGTCCAAATGCAGTTAAAAGCTCTGTACCTCAGGGTACAGTCCTTGCACCACTGCTTTTCCTTATTCTCATATCAGATATAGACAAAAATACAAGTCGGCTTCGTATCATCCTTTGCAGATGACACAAAAATCTGTATGAAAATTACCTCGGCTGAAGACATTGAAAAACTTCAAGCTGATATTAATAAAATTTTCGACTGGGCATTAGAAAATAACATGTTGTTTAACAGTGATAAATTCCTGGTACTCGGGTACGGTAAAAATGAGGACATTAAACATAATACAGGGTACAAAACACAATCAAATGTGCCCATAGTAGGAAAACAACATGTGAAGGATTTGGGAATAATGATGTCTGACAACCTAACGTTTAGGGAGCATAACCAAGCAAATATTGCGTCAGCCAGAAAAATGATAGGATGGATTATGAGAACTTTCAAATCCAGGGATCCCATCACAATGGTTGTACTCTTCAAGTCACTTGTGTTGTCCCATCTTGAGCATTGCTCAGTACTCACTTCTCCCTTCAGAGCAGGAGAGATTGCTGAAATAGAGGGAATACAGAGAACATATACGGCACGCATAGACTCGATAAAGCACCTAAATTATTGGGATCGTCTCAATGCCCTCCAAATGTACTCACTAGAAAGAAGACGAGAGAGATGTCAAATAATATACACCTGGAAGATACTGGAGGGCCAAGTACCAAATCTACACAGTAAAATAACAACGTACTGGATTGAACGATATGGAAGAAAATGCAGGATAGAACCAGTGAAGAGCAGGAGTGCCATAGGCACAATCAGAGAAC